CCAAGACGGTGGTCGCCGACTACTTTTTGCCGCCGGTGTTCGAAGGATCGCGCGCGGCTGGGACGGGGACAGCGGTTAGGACGCATGTGTGGCTGCCAGCGTCCATCCCGCTGCTGTCGCACGACAAGCATGCTGCAGCGTTCCTGGTCAACCACCTCACCAGTGCCTTGACGTCCGCGAGCCAGAGTCGGCAAGCAGACAGGTCGACGCTGTCGCAGTCGGTGGCCGAGGAGATGCCGTTGGCGTTCTTACCACCGCGCAGGGGCTTGGTGCAGCCAGCTTCGTTTGCGCTGCGCTCGTTGCAGCTGCATGGACTCACACGGCTGCAGGACGCCACGCTCGCGCGCTTCTTTGAGGCTGCCGTCCCGTCGACCTCTCAAGGCACTCAGACGGTGCTTCGGCTCGAGACCGTGTCGTTGCGCGGGTGTATTGCGATCGGCGATCGGACGGTTGAGGCAATGTGCCGCGCGACGGGTGCGACGCTACGCTACCTCAATCTCGACTATACCGACGTTACCGCCGACTCGGTGAATGCCGTGATGCGTATGGCGCCCGACCTGCATACGCTTAAACTGGGCTGCAACGAGAATCTGTCCGACAAGACGCTGTCGGGCGCGCTGCAAGCACCAATGAGCGGAGAGATCCCGTTCGGCAAGCTGGTGAATCTGCGGCTGCGTCAGTGTGCGCAGGTGGGAGACGTGGGCGTGGCGTGCTTCCTCAAGTACATTCACCGCACCATCGAGGTGCTCGATGTGTCGGGGACGGGTGTGGGTGGGGCTAATCCGCACAGTCCCGACATGAGCATTTTAGTCATGTCATTCTTTCCGACGGGTATGGAAGCGCAGCTTGCGTTGAAGAAGATCAACCTGCTCGATACCAATGTGGACTTTGACGCCGTGGGGCAGTTGATGGAGAGGGCCGAGGGGATGGAGACGATGCTGGTCAGGCAGATGCCTAGTCGCAGTACGCGCGATGGATTCATCCAGATGCTCGAATCCATGATCCAACCCCGACACAGTGGCGGATGGAATGCGGGGCGGTGGAGGAAACTGCATGTGCGGGTGGTTGATGTGGCGGATGAATTCGCCGACGTTTTTCCTCATCTTCTTCAAGTGTTCCACGTAAGTTCTCCCCGCTCCATCATTGTTGACGAGATGATCCGCTGACACGGGTGGGTGGTAGAGCCTGGTGGTGGAGAATCTGCGTACGAGTTCGAGCCAGCTCAACTTTTTCCGCGAGGTTGCCGACGAGGTCGATCCGGCACGGTGTGTTGTGCAGCATCTCAAGCTGCGCGATGCACGACTGTCGGACCATGCTTGGCGCTTTCTTACGCGCATTCACTCGCTCCGCCAACTCGACCTCACAAACACAGCCGTCCCAGGTAGGTCCGCGATCACCCACACGCAAAGAGGAGCAGAAGCACTGATTTGGACATGGTAGAGGCGGTGGTCAAGCAAACCATCGAGGCCAACAGGTTCTTGGAAATAGTCGATCTGTCGCACTGCAAGCAGATGCGCATCTCGACACGCCGCAATGCGTTTGCCCTCCAAGACGCATGATCGCTCAGAAGCGTGGTGCAGCACAAAGAAAAAGCGCAAGAAATGGCTTTGCCCTCCTACCCGCCACGCAAGCAGAAAGTGAAACCCCGCGCTCAGGGCAGAAAAGTGAAAGAGATGACATTGAAAGAAAGTGCGAATCGGAAGCGAGTCAAGAAGGAAAAGAAGGGGGGAACAAGCCATTGGATGGCCGGTTGAAACGAGAGAGAGACGGAACAAACTGCAGCAAAAGGAGCGAGCGTCGAGATTTAGACGAGGGGGGTGTGACCAGAGTGGACGGGGGTGCCGTTGGTGAGAACGGCGTCGGTCTCGCCAGCAGCGCCAGCGACGATGCCGTGGTTCTGCGTCTTTGCCTGTTGGAGCACCTTCTTCGCCAGAGCCTTGTCCTTGGCATACTGTGCGAAGCTGGCCCTAACCCTGGCAATTGCCTTGGGATCCTTAACCCCCGCCTGGTCGGTGACCTTCTTGAGCTCAGCTGGGTTGGCGACGAGTTTGGCGCACAGCAGCTGGAACTCGCGCACTTCCTGATCGGACACCACGGCGTGGAGCGAAGTCTGATGCGTTGCACCAGCAGGGAGCGTACCGGGGTAGAAGTTGGTAGTCTCCACCTTGTCGGGAACACCATCGCCGTCGTTGTGAGCAGGCTTGTGAGTGTACATGGTATAGTCGCGCTTGATCAGCTCGTCCTGGCTCTTGTCCGGGATCCCATCCCCATCGTTGTGCGCATCCTTGCCGGTAAAGTAGGTGTAGTGACGCTTCTGCAACTTGCCACCCTCGCCAGCAGCCGCATCCGTCTGCGTCTGGAGCTTGTCGAACAGAACCTTGCGATCGTCCTGCGACAACTCGACGCAGCCAGGATTGGGCTTACCGTCAATCCAGTTGGCAGTGAGGTCGCAGTAGCCGTCGGCATCGCAGATGTCGGTGGCCGAGGGTGAGCATTTACCGGCAGACATGACGGTGGCAATGATCTCGCTCCACACCTCCACCATCGCCTCCTTCTCTTTGGCTGAGTAAGGGCGGCAGTTGGAGGAGGAGGAGAGAGAACACGTGCCGTCCTTGCAGTCGGAAGCGTTGGGCGTGCAGAAGCCGGTGGCGTGCGTGGCTTCGGCGACCGCGGTCTGCGCAGTGTTGAGTGACTCGCTGATGATCGAGTCGCGCACCTGCTCCGGCCCAACCGCAGCAGCAGCGCCGCTCTTGGGGTCCTGCTTGCCAGCACCGGCAACGGGAGCAGCCTTGCTACCAGCATCGCCCGCGGCGGCATCGGGGGCATCCTTGCTACCGCCGTCGCGCTTGGAAAGACCACGCTTGCCGACGTTCGGGCTCGTCTTGGCGGCAGAGGTCTGCTTGTCCGACTCGTTCTGCAGCTCGTCCATGAGTGCT